GTTTGGCTTTCATTCGGGTTTAGCAATTCCTTGATGCTACATTGCCCTTGGTTAAGCTGCACTAAGCATCCTATGCCCTTATTTCCATTGATTTTAGTTCACTTGTTGTTCCCTTGTCCCTGGGTTGGCTCCCCCTCCCCCTTTCCTTTCTCCCACCTCCCCTTCTCACATATCCCCCAGAAACCATTGGTCCCATTCTTTTCATCTCTGAATTGTTTAGCCCGCCTATTTTATCTAGATAAACATGCAGAGACCTTAGCTAGTGCAAAACCCAGGCAAAGTCAAATAAAAAAACAAAGGAAGTCAAAGTGGGTCTTTTAACTGTCCCCAAACCCACAAAGGGGGTGGTGGTGGAGGGAAGCCACTTAGAATGCTAAATTTAGATGTTTTAATACTGAGAAGCCTGGGGATTTTGCAACAGATGAAAACAGGGTCCAATGGTTCCAGGAGACTTTAAATTACACCTTTAGTCAAACTGTTCAAAGACACACACATGAAAACATCGGCACCGGCACTGCCCAGCAAAAGTGCTTTGCAGCCCCCACAGTCGCTGCCTCGGTCTAGACCAGTGGTTCTCAACCTTCCTCATGCCGCGACCCTTTAATACACTTCCTCATGCTCCCCGACTCCCCCCAGCCATAAAATTATTTTTGTTGCTACTTCACAACTATCATTTTGCTACTATTATGAATCTGGCGACCCCTGTGAAAGGGTTGTTTGATCCCCAAAGGGGTCATGACCCACAGGTTGAGAACCGCTGGTCTAGAGGCTGCACTGAAAATGTAAAGAGAAACTGGTGGAAACACATAGAGAGGCCTGAGGGGCCGGCCCCATTACCAACTAAGTGGACAACACAACCCTCCCCCCCACCCCAACCCCAGCCAAAGAATTCACTTCAGAGGACAGCACTGAAGCTACAGCTCAAGAAGAGGGACTTGTCTGATGAGAGCACACAGGAGCCAACGAGGGGGGAAGGGAAAAAAATAGAGTGAAGCACATCCTGGCTCACCAAGCCCTGAGGACAATGTTTCTGCTCAGAACAGCAATGCACAGAGATGCCCACAGGGCCGGCTCCACCACGGGACACAGCGTTCCTCAATGACCCATAGCACCATGGGGGACAACACGAGAGACACACATGGCAGGAATTGTGCCCGCCCTGTCACTACGCTGAAGCCAGCCACTGGGGACATGCAACAGAGCAGTCGGGGGAGCAGGGCAATGAAGTCCCCAGGGACAGCTGTGGGGCCAGGGCATGGCACCCCATCAGACTCGACTGGGAAGCACTCGTGAAGGAAAACAAATAGACCCTGAACTATTGATAGTTTATTGTTATTGCTATTGTTTTACTTTCTATTATTGCTTCGTTGTACTCAGTCTTGTGATGGTACATAGCATGTCTACCACAATTTCCCTATAGAAGGGATAGGTGGGATAAACAAACAAGCTGGAAGAGAGAACAATGGGATGATAGTTCCAGAGGGACATGAGAGAGGGGGAAAGGAAGTAGATGTTAATAGCCCAGGGACAAGGGACAGCAAGTGATCCAAAATCAGTGGCAAGGAGGGTG